CAGGAATAAAAGGGAAGAGGTAGGTGAGACAGAATCTCAGGAAAAAAGGGACTTGACAGAACTCGGAGCCTGAGAAGGGTGAGTATAAGAAACAAAGACTGAGATGTAGGTTGGAGCAGAGCTGTGCACAGCTTTGAAGACAAGAGCAAGGAGCTTGAATGTTATGTGGAAAGTGAGAGAGAGACTGATGGGATTTAAGGATACATATGGATATGGGTATATGAGAGATGTTGGGCATTGTGGCTAAGGCATATTTTACATTTGGTTAGGCTTAGGGGGAAGAAAGAAAGCAGTGGGAGCTGATGAGGTCAGGGAGGAGAGTGCAGCAAGGAGGGAGAGAACCAGAGCATAAACTGGTGGCGTGCCATTTGGGACAGACAGCGAGGGGTGCACTTTCATGGTACTATCGAGGGGAGCTGTTGAGGTCCCAGGTATAAATCTGGGGCAGGGGAAGCTTCACTAGGAAAAACTGATGACTAATCATGATGGAGCAGTTCTTTTGCCTTCATTTGAACTGATTTGCTAGTGTCATCCTGTTCCAAATTGATGCATCTCCATCTAACATGGGCATTGTCAAGAGCTGAAATGCAACTATATTACACTTGTGTCTCGTTTCAGTGTTACTTGCATATTGAGAGCAAATGTCTCAGGTTTAATATACAGCATGAGCCCAACCCTTTTTTGAGACCAGGAGAAGATGTAACTTTTGTGTGTGTGTGCTGCTTCATACGAACTATATCACAACAATTATACAGCTAAACTTATAGCAGAAGGGGGTGACAATTAGGTAGTGTTGAAGGAGAAAAGGTACATTCTCAGCTGAGATGTGAAAGGGGATGGAGTGGTAGTGATGTGGAGAGATGCAAGATCACAGGAGCTGCAGAAGTAAAGGCTCTCACATTAGACAGAATTGTGTGGAGGGATGGCGCGGTGGCTATTTTGACATGAGGAGGCAGGAATTAGAGGTAGGATTAACCAAGTCCAAGGGATGCTTTTTTTTAAGTAAGCAAGAGCAGATTTGAATTTGTTACTAATTTGGGTTGCTGGAGGATGTGAGTGGCCTTCAGGCTTTGACACCTGTCTCACAATTCACCTTATATTGCCATGGAGCTATTCTGCATGTAGGAATGCTACTCTGCAGGCCAATAGTTTTATGTCTCTCCCTCCCTTATCTCTTAGATTGTCTCCTTGGATGGTTTTGTGAACATGCAAGGGACCTGCCTCTCTTTCCTACGTATAAAGTGTTTATTCATATTTCACTGATGTGCATCCTATACTACTGAAGAAGTTTCCCAGACATGATGCTCTGCTTGCTAGAAATGCATACCGAGTATCAGCTGTGCAAGCTGATTACCTCCAGATCCCATGCTGCTCTGCTTAAATTTCTCCATGGAAATGGAATGCCATGTTAAGATTAAGAAATCAAATACTCCAGAGGCACAGTGAGTACCAAAAGCTAATGCAGGAAAGAAATCCAGAGCACAGACCTGGAGGGACTTCAGGTAAGGAGAAAGGAAGGAAAGAAGGGGCAGAAAGACACAGAGAGGGGAGCTGTCTTCTCCTAATTGTCAGCTATGTCCTTCCAGTGCTGTGCCAGCCTTTCAGGGTTAACTTTATAGTGCAAATGTTTCAGGAGAACATAGATTGGAATACAAAGACCTGCACAAAATAGGCCACGTTATATGCACAATCCCTGATGTAGCTTTATTGATTTTGTTAGTGATGCATTTGGTCTGGTATGCTTTTTTTTAAAAATGTACGAACATTCACTGATAGCTTCATTTTCTGGTTTAGCTGAGAATACTGGTGGGCAAGAGGAATAACACAAATGCAATGAAATTGAGGAGAATATGTAGCAATCGTAATTCATACAGACTGCACGTTTAAGGCAAGGTGTGGGGAAGG